GATTTGTCATTTGTCAGAGAAGAAGGAAACATCGATGTCTCAGGCAAGATGCATTCATGCTCTATGTTGATTGTAACATTCTATCAAAACTTTGTATCCATTAAGTAATTGAGGTTGTTATTGCGTTTTTTTTTCTTTCCTCGCCTAAGAAAAAGTGAGGTAGAATTTGATAGGATAACTTGTGTGTACGCGCAAGGCGAGGCGAGAGAGGCAATAATTAGCTGATTAGGTGTTTGAGAGCTAATAGCGACAGACGTGAAACCTATTGACTGGAAATTCCACGATAATATACAAGCGTATTGGAATTTGTTTATCTGCGATATTTTGAAATATCAGGGATCGTAAATGTCCCGATCGCGAGCGGAAAAATGCGCGCTGATCATTCGAAATTATCGGGGACGATATCATTATCGAACGTGTATGCAATTTAAAAATAATGAAATTCTCCTTCGATTCCCTTAACTCCCTGTTATTATCCGCTTGCAGGCATTCTCACGTTCTCAGAACGATGAGGAAAAAAGGTAATCGAGCCAGCCATGTTAAATCAATCCGCAACGTTCATTGGTCGGCTGGCTGGTCGTTAAAATTGAAATTCCTTGCTCCATATTCACGTTTACATAATAACCGGCGCAGCGTCTGATGGAAAATGCCTTTATGCGTATGCGTATGCGGCTGCTGTTGAACGGGGCGGGGAAATGGACTTTAAATCGCCGGAATTCGATTGATCTTTGCTCGATAACGTGGCGCGTTGCGCGTTGCTTATTCATGAAGTTTTTAACAGTTTGACAACTGAGCTAGCCAACAACGCTGATCTGCGCTCTATATGCTCGATGAAATCACCTTCTGCTCCTTTTTTTTCCCCTCTCGTCTCTCCTACTTTCGTTTCCACGTTTATAATTAGACGTACTTATGCAAATCGTTGGGCGTTTAACGTCCCGGTACTTTTGATTCGATCTGCTCGTGATAAATTGTTCGTCCGTCACATTCAATTGCCGTTTTGCGTAATGTGTACGTGATTACCGTGTCTTTCATGCAATCTTTAGTGCTAATCGTGTTCGGTTTCGTGCTATTAGTATTTTATGTCCCTCTTTTTTCTTCTTCTCGTTTCTTTTCTTTTTTCCTCTCTGTCTCTTTTGTTTCAATGCTCAAGCTGTTTGGTAATTTTGATTAATATTATTATTATTATCATTATTTGTTTTTTTTTTTCATTATTTCGAAACGAACGTACGCGTCACGAAAATATATCGGTTTTTAATTAAAGTTTCACAGACGCCAGATACCCGTTATCGCGCGGCGTGTCTCTCGAAATGATCAGATAACCCGAGTGCAAGAATTTCGTTCTTAACCGCGGATCTTATCGGGGCTTTTCGATATCTCTGCTGGCCACTATCGAATCCAACGTGCCTGATAAATCGTGTTTACATACACGAATATCTTTGCCTGTCCCTCGTCCGTAAACAATTACTTTCGTAGAACAGATGCAATTTTTAATATCTATCCAATGTCCTGTATAAAGGGACAAGACAGTCGTGCAACATTTACATTTGCAAAAATTAATCACCGCGATTCGTTACAAAATTCACGTTTCTATACAAATATCAAATCCTGCAAATTAAGATTCTTGAAATATTACGCACTTTGCCAGAATTATTATCCTCAAAATTCATACTTGCGAAATACAGAATAGTACCTATGCTATAATTTTCGTCGAACGTTGAACATTTTCTAAATACCTTCGTCGTAGCGAAATCAGCAATGTGACAATTGTCTAATTGTCTAATCCTATAAATATCAAAAATTGTCTGTATAAGTATGAGAATCCTAGCTATTATATTTTACCATAATCAAATATCGGAAAACTTGTGTCTTACCATTGTATCTATTGAACACAGATTTGTCAAATACTTCAAAATCGTCTAAATGTCTAATCCTTCAAATACTAAAAATTGTCTGTATAAGTAACTATCAGAGTCTTTGTATTTAGTCATTATATTTTACCATAATCAACTATCAGAAAACTTGTGTCTTACCATTGTACATATTAAACACAGATTTGTCAAATACTTCAAAATCGTCTAAATGTCTAATCCTCCAAATACTAAAAATTGTCTGTATAAGTAACTATCAGAGTCTTTGTATTTAGCCATTATATTTTACCATAATCAACTATCAGAAAACTTGTGTCTTACCATTGTAGCTATTGAACACAGATTTGTCAAATACTTCAAAATCGTCTAAATGTCTAATCCTCCAAATACTAAAAATTGTCTGTATAAGTAACTACCAGAATCCTTGTATTTAACCATTATATTTTACTATAATCAACTATCAGAAAACTTGTGTCTTACCATTATATCTATTGAACATAGATTTGACAAATGCTTCAAAATCGTCTGAATATCTAATCCTTCAAAAATCAAAAATTGTTTGTATAAGTATCAGAATCCTAGCCATTATATTTTACCATAATCAACTATCAGAAAACTTGTGTCTTACCATTGTATCTATTGAACACAGATTTGTCAAATACTTCAAAATCGTCTAAATGTCTAATCCTCCAAATACTAAAAATTGTCTGTATAAGTAACTACCAGAATCCTTGCGTTTAGCCATTACATTTTACCATAATCAACTATCAGAAAACTTGTGTCTTACCATTGTGTCTATTAAACGCAGCTTTGACAAATTCTTCAAACCTTGATATCGCGAATCAAAGCGTCAGAGATCTGTGGTAGCGAAATCATCATCGAGATAGTTTAAAGCGGTGGAAGATAGGCGACAAGCGATTTGCAGTCGGTTGATTTATGGTCGCGGGACTAGGATATTCCTGTAAAAGCTCGGTGTATCTCCTGTTCCGCTGCTTTCGTGTGCATAATCTTATCAGGCTCGTTTACGACTGTCGCATAGGCGTAAACAACAGCTAAATAATTCAACCGAGGACAGTATAAATACCGATAAATTTCCGTTCTATCTTTGGCAAGCTGTCTTATCGTGTGTTCTATCGAATTTTGATTGTACCTGTGCCTCACGAATGTCCGTGTAAGTAAGTGTTTCCTTTCCACGGGAAACATTATTTGAACACTTCGTATTTGCGCTCGCCTGTACCTTAACATTTTTTCAGCTTATCGTTTTTTGTTTTCCTCGGAACCTTTGTCATTTCTACACGTTATCGGTTAGAATAGGTCTGCTGATTATCAGCGGCGTCTTTCAATTTGTCACGCAAAAATCGATATCTAGATTGGCTTTGACAATGTTGCAAATCATCGTTGAAATAGCTGATATTTTGATTTTCAGCCCGACGATTATTTGTTTTCTTATCTGTCGCGTACGATTCGTGAGAGGTAAATAAAATGTAAAATTAATTTTATATTAAGATGTATTAGGATTGTTCGGAAAAAATCATGACGAAAATTAAAAAAGATTTAACTCGAATTACTAATTACAATTGCACTCCTTTATTATAATTTGTTATAATTTCACGAGATTTTTAATTTGAAATTTCTTGCCTTTTAGAAACTGTATCTTTCGAATAAGTTTCTATTAAATAAAAATGAGACTATACCATAATATCCAATGAGCAAGGAAGATGTTTCAACTATGATTGAAAATTTCTTAAGTAAAGATTAGATTTGATTATTTTACCAGAAAAGCAATTGACGAATTTCGCCGACTATCTCAGTCTATATTTGTTGAAAATTTAGAACAAAAATCCTACCTGAACTTCTCGAACAAACCAATACTTGGGAAAGTTTTGAGCATCGAAGTTTCCAATTTTAATTCATCGTAATGATAAATGGTGGAGTAATAGGGGTAGCTAATTTTGCAAAGACAGGAACGTGGATAGTTTCGCGATTGGCGGAGAAGCACGTGCAAGATTAATGATGTCTGTTGAACCGGAATTACGTGTCACTTTTTATTACTCTCGTTAGGTACAGTTTGCGTTTCAAAGGCAGTAGGTCGTCGGCCAACAAGTACGTCACATTTCACTTGTCCGTCAATCTTAATTGAATTCACCACCCAGGCGAAAAATCTCTTGACATCGATGCCTCAAGTGGACCGCGTCACGGTTTCAGCAGCGACGGCCATTCGAGATGCACGAAATTGTGTAAAGTGTCGTCAATGGGCGACAATTGGGTCGTGTCGCGACACTTAAACATTACAAATTGTCCTTCCAAGAACTCGGTGTGACTAACGTGGAGATATTGAGAAACGACGGAGAAGTTTGTGCAAAGGCAAATATGCATTTCCCTATTTTCATTATTTATACGAAAATTTACTGTGTCGAATATCCTCAACATGTTGGATTATATAGCGGCTATACAACGAGTATGTACTTGCACAAATCCTTAGTTTCTGACGAGGCGTCACATTTGCTCAAGCTCTCAATTTTAAAAGTAGTGTTTCGTGATAGAAAATTTAATATATCTAGTTGGAATTAATTGTTAGAGTTAGCATGTAGCTACGTGCTATAATAAATACTACTACAGATAGATATATAAATCTACAAGCAATGACTTGTCCATATTTAAGATTTTGTAAATTATACATACAAACTTGTAACATCTAAAGTATTTAATAGAACAAATTTGAATTCAAATTCTAAATGAAACTAATCTGGATTTCTACTGATAAATCGACAAAATCGATAAAACACGTGTTTCTAAATCAAGTGTTTCAAGTATCAAAAAAAGACATTCTCTTCTCCACATTAATCGACATTCCACATTAATAGCCTACAAGAAAGCCACGAAGATATTTCGCTTCACAGAAAGATGTCTCAATCGAACCGGCTTTTCGATCGACCATTAATTTCCTGGATGAAAGTCGAGAGAGTGGACAGACACGATTCTTCTATTAGCCCATTGAGATTTAAAACTAGTCATCGCCCGATAAACGGAAGCTGAATAACAAGAGCCTGCCACCGAATCACCACCGTGATACGCTAACTTCAATCTAATCAAATCTCTCTGCGTCAATCATGAAAATAGCCAGATACGTACCAGCTGGTTTAGGAACGTTCCTCTTCACTTGCATCCACTTGTAAGTGGGCACGTGCGGCTGTTGTTGTTGCTGTTGTTGCGGCGGATGATGGCCGTGTGGATGCTGCTGCTGATGATGATGCCCGTGGCCGTGTTGGTGCGGATGTTGATGGTGTCCCGACTGTTGGAGTACATGGTAACACGAGGGATCCGGATTTTCCTCCTTGTAGTGACCAGCGGAATGTCCAGCGTAGTCGTTCTGCCGGATTTGAGAGTGATAGTGAAGCGAGTCCTCGGCGGCAGGCAGCTGATGAAGATAGTTGGTGGTACCAGCGACTGGAAGCTGATAGTCGGGCTCGTGATGGTGATGGTGGTGGTGATGGTGATGACTAGAAGACTGATGGTGCAACTGTTGCTCGTGCTCGGTTCTCGAGTGGCCAGCGGTCATCATGGAACCTTGATGAAGACCGTTCCCCGAGGTTGAAGCGGAATGATGATGATGATGATGGTGGTGGTGGTCGTCTCTGTAAGGTGTTTGTTGGACGTGGTAACTCTGATGAGGATCCACCGATCCGTGGGACCCGTTCGTGTGTTGATGCTGCTGGTTGTTGTACGGCGACGAGGTGGAGGACGCGTAGTCTAAATTAGTGTAACTCAGACCATTCTCCGAGGAGATGATCGCGGTTGTGGAACCATCCTCGTGCAGAACGGCCGCCGACGGCGAGTAGAAGCTCTGCGGAGGCGTACCGGAAGATGTGGCGGATTCTGCCGCCAGGAAACTCTCCGAGGAAGAAGACGAGTAAGGGGAGACGGCGGTCTGAGGGAAGTAGTGTGCCGGTGCGAGTTCCGGCGAGGCTGGGACAGGCACGTGTCCTCCGACGGACACGGGCTGATGATGATGATGATTCCCTTGACCTGTGCACACATAGTTGGGATATGAGTCAGGCTTGCCGTAAGTTCCGTACATGCCCATGTCCATCATCATCATCCTCGTGGCGCGGAGGCGAATACATCAATTGGCCACCTGCTGCCGGGCCACCAGCGTGTCCTTCGGTGCGCGCACTCTTTTACGGAGGAAGGGACAGAGAGGGAGAGAGAGAGAGAGAGAGAGAGAGAGAGAAAGAGAGTGTGTGTACGTGTGTGTGTGAGAGAGAAAGAATCGTCCAAGGAATCGGCTTACATCGTGATCGACGACTACCGCGTTACGACAAGCTTTTACACATTTCTATAGTCACGAGATGCCTGATGATTATGTTCGACGAGGAGGTTGCAAGTAATAACACGGGTATCACAGGTTGACACACTTTTCTACCAAAGGTCCAGGTGTACGACGTTCCTCTTGACGCGAGACTTCGAGACGTTGAACAACTCCATTCGTAGATTCCTCTCTCTACCTTGGCAAGCTCGCTGCAGCTATTACGTTAACGAACATCAACAAATCGATGGTATGCTGGTCGATGTGGATTATCCTCTAGAAAGTCGCGGATACGCGAGAGATCCCGAGGCAGACCCGCGGCATGCCAGTGGATGTAGGAGCCGCGTAGCCCGTGTTACGCGTACGTAGTAACCGGAGAAAAAGCGGACGTGTTAGACCGTCGATCCGGTCGACGAGGGCCGCTGAAGTGGACTGACTAGGTGGACTGGTCTGGCGGAAGGCGGCACGGTCGAAGGCTGCCACGCAGGTGAGATTGCGAGCCACAGGGGTCTGGTGTGTCCAGCTCCTTGCCTCTCTCTTTCACCCTGCGTTCGTTCTCTTCGTCGTTCCCCCTTGGTTCGCCAGCAAAACGAGGTATACGTCAGGGTATAGATAGGGTGCTGCCTTCTCGAAACTGGGCGTGTTCTCAACGTTGATCACGTGAATGACTTTGGGCGGAGCCAGCCAATCCTGATCGAGCCTGCGCGTCCAGCGTCCGTAGCCTCATGATGGATCACCGAGCTAAATTTTATTTTTCCTACGTTCTTTTTATCTGGCACGCTGCAGTTGACACTTATCGCGGCGAGTAGAGGTAGTCGAGTATTATATCTCGGTGCCCACCTTCCAGGATAGCCCGTGTACCCTTCGAAGCGCCGACCCAGCATCGCTCCTTTTCCCTTTTTCTTTCTTTTTTTTTTTTTTTCCTTCTTCTGCGAGCTCCTTTCGTTTCTCTTTTCGTCCCCTTCACCCCTCCTTTTTTTTTTTAAACGTCTTTTTCCTTTTTTCTCCCGGCCGCGACCAGTCGCTCTTCTGTGTACACACGCGTGTCCCACCTGTCCCCGACAGGACACAGCAGCGTCTCCTGCACTTTCATTAACGTCTGACGGCTGATGGGTTAATTACTGGCCGCTAGATCTACACTGTGAAAGTTGCTCGCTCGGAGAACCGAGCTCCTAACTGGGTTCTAGCGAGCGTGCTTCGATTTCTAAGCGGGAATTGGAAACCCTTATTGGGATCCTCCGTTTTCTAACGTATTAATTTGATTTGGACTCCCCGCTCTTAGATAAAGACTCTAGGGACTCTAAGACTCCTAGTTACCTTGTTGCTTACAGAGTCCCTACCAAAGCAGAGCTACTGTTTTAATATTTTACTTTGAGAATGATTTCTCAGACTGAATGATCACTGAATTAACTGTCTCGTATTACAAATTCAGGTCTTCTTTCCGTGCAATGAAACTGCTGGACAACAGCTATTGATCCGTTGGCGAAATTTATAAATTCTCATGCCGTAGCGAGTTTTAAATTGCATTTTCAATCTTTGACTCATTTTCGTTAATGTTTAATTCGTTGAATAATTTAAAAGTTCCCAACACACACGTTCGCTATGAATATCAAGCATCTACCGGATGGATTCTCCAATTTTATAAATTTCTCGTGATACAATTCGTATCAATCGCCAATCCACTGTAACGTGCTTCAATAGACAACTGTGTATACCGTTGGCATTAACCCCTTGCGCTGGCAACTGGTTCGCGGACCATAACGAGCGACCGAACCTTATACAATAATTCGTCGCTTTCCTTTCGAATTCGTCGGTACGATATCACTGGATAGAAGTTATTTGAAAAATGATAAACTTATATTATTGTATGCAATTTTCCCTGTGTTATACTTCAATATACTTGAAACTGAGAAAACATTGCAATTTTGGGGCAAAAAGTTCTCGACGTGGCACGTCATTCCAGCGCAAGAGGTTAATAGTCGCAAATGGCAGCCAATGGATAAATATAATCGCTGTCACTGAAAATTTCGACGAAGTTACGCAACAACGGTGGTACGAAGCGGCGTTTGTCTCGAACAAGGAGGCAAACCCGGAGGAACCGGGAGAGAAAGAGGGAGAAAGGTATAGGGAGTCGGAGAGACGGGCCCATGGGACGTCTGGTACCCCATGTGGGTTCAGTGACAGGATGACACATTCCGCCGTGAAAGTTTTAGGAGAGCGGCCCTGTATCAGCGGTTCAGTCAGAAGAGCTTATATCGAGGGCGCCACCTGCGGCCACCCGCGACATCCGTTCTGTCCCGTGCATCAGGATCAGGAAATCTTCATCTTGATCGAACTCTTTCCTCCCCTCCCCTCCCCTCCCCTCCCCTCCTCCCCCTCCTCCGACGTCTCATAGTTCTGATTCTCACTGTCGGCCGATCTTTTTCACCTGAACGCCCCCGTACACCGGTCCTCTCGCTCCTCTTATACGTCGATACTCGTTAATTCGAGTTTGATGATAATGTCGCTTACGAATTGGGATCGGTACGACGTTCGGCCGGGTCTCTTTCCACGTTAGGTTCGCATCGTACTTTTTTATTTCATCGCTTTTCGTAAAGTTCGCGTTTGTTGGATAGATAGTGTAGATTGTTCAATTGAAATTAGACCATTAGGCATTTTTTTGCTAGTCAAAAGCAAGCGGGTGCTTCGTTGAGCGAGAAAATAATAGGATACTATGGATAAAACATACTGTAGAATATAAGTAAAAATAGTAAAAACATACTGTGGATAAATTTATGCAACGATTCATAGCGTCTGTATCTTTTAAATTAACTATTAATTATTCATACCGCTTGAAGGAGAATCTTCTGTACGAGAAGATAGATAAAATTTCGAAAACTTCTCGAAGCTCAACGATTGAATCCTATAGCTCCAAACTTATTGTCTAATTAATTTGTGATCCAAAGAATTAGACTATTCTCGCTCTAAAAAACCTTTGGCTCAAGGGCGAAAATTTCGTGAAGAAGAGAGGTCCAGAAATTCTTCGGACCTCTCGTCAAAGTGACAAACTACGAGCTTTCGTCTCAAGAAAGTCTCTGGTGGCTGGCGTGTAATTCACGGTTCAAAACGATACCAGCTACTTTTAATGGTATTTCCCAGGATTAGATTGGTAAATTCGAGTTTAGCCGAGTCTAATGTTGGGATAAATATCAGCGGCCGAGTTTCTTTCTGCCCCCTTCTGCCACAGGTTGGACACGCGTAAACTTTGCTCCGGCTAATCCTCTTAAACAATTACAAACCAGTCGATCGGTCTGGTACCTATCTCGTCGTGGCGCCACGCTGCGTTTTGACGTGGGATGAGGCACCTGCATTGTCATGCTAAGCCGCAGTTCCCTTTTATCTGCGACCAACAACATCTCGTCCACTTCCACTGAACTCGTCTTCGTTCCCACCATCGCGTCGTGCTCCAAATTTTCGTGTCAAACTTGGCATTTGTCTTGGTTTTCAGTCTGTGAAGTTTGCCTGTGAAAACTCGTGACGGCTGCCAGAGTTTGGATGATTTTTGCAACAAGATTGCTCCGTTTTCCTGTTTTAATAATAATAATTTGATAGTCTTGTGGAATCAGTAACGAGTGATTTTTACCTATGGATTCAATATGTATTTCATAATTCTTGTAGAAGATAGATTTTGAATATTCGTGCGGGATATATGTTTGTTTGAGTCGATGCGTCAGAAACGATTCTTTTTCTTATTGACTTAGTTATTCAGGTATACCAGATGTGGAAAGGACGACTTTAAATATTTACTGTTTAATCTACACGTTGGTTCTGACACTTCCATACAGTGTTAAATAGATATATCAAAAGAATTATATTTTTTTGAATTATAAATTACTACAGAATATCCTCGGCGAATTTTGAATGGAATTATTCAGAATTTATTTAGATCTCTTTTCAACCTTCGTCGCAGAAACATCCATTTAGGAAAATTAAAATAATCTGACTCAAGATGCGGATCCTCTTTATTGCATTTTTCAAATTAATTAATTAATCTTTTAACATCCACAGTACACGAGTACATAGAAAACGATATTTGACTCTTGAAGCGAATTAGATGCGCCTACTATCCAAACATTCGTTTCCCACCGAGCGTCTTCGAATCTCTCATTGTCGTTGCTATAAGACGTTTTATCTCGAACGTGACACCTTCAAAGTCGATCCTCTTGTCAGTCAAATATCCAGTCACAACAATTCAGCGGGTGGTTGCCGATGGACAGACAGCTGTCTATTCAGACAGGAAGAACCGCAGACATTCAACGAGAAGTTTGTCTTCATTCAAGGCAAGATAGCAGGCTATTATTCGGTCGATCGTCGCTATTCTGGCCATGATGAAGGCAAAAGTCGCAGGAAGCTGCGTGAAATAAAAAGAAGAAGAACCTCGGTTCTCGATGGGCGGAATTTTGACGAGAAGGTGGCTCCCTCGAGAAACGGAGATCTCTTTTTCTGTTCTGCCCGGATTCTCGAACGAGAATGTTCCCAGCGAAACCCCAATCCGATATTTTTTAATCGACAATATTCATGTTGTTTTAATCGTTCTAAAAAATTTAACTTTTAAAAACTACCGCAGCAGTTAACGTATTAAATTTATCTGAATTTAACTTTGTGCTCTAGAGAGTTGATTGATGATTGATCAGTGACTGAATGAACCGAATGAGTTGAATTTCTGCGAGTAGTGTTTTTCAGAGAATTGTCGTCGATTTGAATCGTGACGTTGGGGAAAGTGAAGTTTCAAAGAATTGAGAAAAGTGAATTTC